AACACGGCCAAGGGCACTCTGTGTGTGCTGAACTGGGAGCGATGACGTATCATGTGCCATTCCAGTGGGAGTACCAAATAGTTGCATAGGTACTTTTATTCGTATGATATTATGTATGAGCAAATCAATCAGGAAATAATTTACCAAAAGGTTCACCATGTGATTTTCTCCGTTTGCAGTATAGCTACTTTGTAGCCACTAAACCACATTTTCTGCACAGGCGTGTCTAAGTTTCCGAGCAGTGACTACTGTTACCCGATATCGTCAATATTACATGTTATTTTCGACACTATGAACTTTATTTGGAGCTCAACCTGAAACACTTAGATACAAAATGTAAACATTGGAATATAATTTAGCATTCGTTGCGCGGTTGCGGTATGAGACGTGCGGCACGATCCTTTGCTTTAGCATGGATTAAACGACATACGTCTAGCGCCAGCATAGAAGTAGACGAAAGGGTCTACTTTGTAATCTAACTATGGCTGTAGGTAGGCCAAGCAAATCATACAACACACGCAGAATAGCAAGACTCACAGTTCTAAAGAAAAATGTAGTGTTTTACTTTTCAGGAATACGTTAAACATTTAAGTATATTTTTTATAAGCAATAGAAAAATATAGAAATGCACGACTGTCTAGTAAAAAGGTTTATTTTGGAATGATTATACAGTATTCACATTTATAAATTACATTTTTGTAACATTATAAATACATGTTTATTCTATCGACATTCTTGAAAAAATGAGATATTGCCACAGTGTATTATGGGATCATTGGGATAAGTAGGTTTACTGAATTTAGATTTTTACTTAAGCATTTTAGAAATATTGTACCCCAAATAATTTTGTAAATTGTTTTAAACCCTGAAAGCTACATAAAGAAAAATGTGTTAATAGAGTGTTTACATGGATCAGACCAAGTGAATTTCTATCTGCCCGATTGGATTATTACCTAAAATGTTCTATATTTAACAGGACCGCATGAATTTTGCGATAATTGCTTTGGATTGGTCACGCAACCGATCACCATCTCAAAGGTGTCGTTGGTTAGGTCGTGTCAAGTAGATTTTCCATCAAATAAAAAATGTTTGTTTCATTAAACAGGGCAGATTGATTACCTATTTAAATAACATTAGGTCTAAAGAGTACTTATATGCTGCTACGGAGAAGGTAATAGAATGCCAGTAGCTTATAGGGTAATGAAAATTAAATATTACTTACCACGGTTCATTTTAGTATTCGAGTATAACGAATATTATACAGTTATATATTAAACGGAAATTATAAAATTAAAACTGAACAGGTCGTGATTAATATGCTTAGTATAAAAATGTCAAAATCATTAACAATCACAATTACACCAAAATTTTCCTTTGGATTTACTCTGTTTACCGGTATTTAGTAACAAATATACTTACACAAAAAATCCGTCTAAAATATTTTTACATGTTTAATATTCAAAGTATTTTCTAATTTGCTATTTTCTAATTAATTACCAGGTTGCTGTTATTTACAAATATACACGAAAATGTTCGAAGTTATTATCCTTGCTATAGAGTAAGTGGGGTCAATGATTATAGCTAGGGTTTCAAATAACATTTTCCTTAATGCAAAACATACATTTTTATCATGCAAACATAATCCTTTGTAAATTTAATATTTGCAACAGCGACATTTGAACTTGATATGTTTGAACATTGTTTAAATTGCAGCTGACTTTTAACTTTGATTAATAAACTATTTCTTGCCATGGAGCCTAAATAAATTACATTGATAAAATGCATTTTGTTTTGGTTACTATAAAAAAGGTATTTTAAGGTTTGACCTGATTTGTGTATACAGTAATTCTGTTTTTAGTATTGAATATTCTGACTTATAAGCATTTGTAAAAGATGTTTAAATATAAATTAAATGCAATTATTCCTTACACGACCTAAGAAGTGTGAGAGTGCATAGTCGTCGATCGTCTTAAAAGTGTTAAATATTTTAATTACTAAACATGCATTTGCAGATGTGGAATGTTTATTAATATTCTCTACCCAGTTACTAAATCTCTATATCATATCAATACTATTATGCCTGCTTCGAAAAGTCCTGGAGGAAGCTGATTTGCAATTTCTACTACTGTACATCTTGAGCAAACAAAACCACCTACCTGGCTTACACCACTTTTAGCTGAACCAGTCTTTCATATACATATTTTCCAAAGGTACTATACGTGATAACAACAAATTTTCTACTTTTTAGAGATTTTTTAGTGCTGGTAGCTGAGGAACAACATTCAAATCGTTCCAAAAGGCTTGAGACGTTACTGTATTTCTTTTTATAATGTAGAAGTACACCGATTGCAGAAAACGATGATGTCTGACATTTCAATGTCTCTCGAAAAGACATTAGTTTTTCATATGGCCTAATGTAGGACAACTCTTTGATTTTTAAGGAATATCTAAAAATATTTATTTTTATACCCATTGATTATGTAACCTGAACAGGAGACTCAAGCAGTTTTAAAATAATGATTGTTCTGTAGCACTTTTGATTGTTTCGAACAGTTTGGCTTATCAAAAAACCTCAATTAATTAATATATAACAAATTATATAGTCACTAAATATCATAAAATTATGATTTTTTTAATACAACCGACTTCAAACGCTCTAAAAAGAATGAAATAATTTCAATATAGTAAACTTTTGTATTAGTCAAGCTCACGTATTTCAAGTCGGCGCGGCTCTAACTGCAAATATGATTAAAATAAAATATTGTGTGTGTATTTTGAAAATCAATAAATTGTAGCTGGATAACATAAATTATATAAAAAATATACTGAACTGTTTTGTTTATATATCAAAGGAAGTATTTTCTTGTATTATATGTTTATTTCAGAATGAATGCATTATGAAAATAACACACACAAATGTTCTTTATGAATAGGAAAATCATTTATTTTGATATCATGATAGGGAAAAGAAGCTAGTTTAGTATTAAAACGATATTTTTCCAAGTTAGAATCATTTAAATGCATTATAACCTTTTTAAAGATACTCGTTAATACCACTATAATGCCGATCTTTGGTTACGGTAATAAAATAACACCCAACGCATAACTACGAAAAAGACATGCAGATTAACACCTTTAGTTATAGATAGTCACCTGCAATATGGACATTCTCTTTCAATTTTGTATCAAAAATCATCATAGAGCCGCGCTGACTTAAAATACGTTAGCTTGACTAATACAAAAGTTTACTTTATTGAAATTATTTCATTCTTTTTGGAGCGTTTGTAGTCGGTTGTATTTTTTTTTTACAAAAATAAATTATATTAAACTAATTTACCTGACAATTTATGCATTTACTTCAAACATAATAAATGTCTTCTGTTGGGAATAAGAACTGTCATTCCCTCTAAATACCGAACTGTCTTCATGGACTACTTGCATGAATCTCACAATGGCATGGTCAGAATGAAGTCTGAGGCTCGGGGTCATGTGTGGTGGCCAGGTATGGATGCTCTAATTGAACAGACGTGTCACCGTTACCGGGAATGTAACTTGTTTGAAAAAAAAACAAGTAAAACGCATCTAGCCAACTGGCCTAAAGAAAGTGAACCTTGGAGTCGAATACATTTAGATTTTGCTGGACCATTTTACGGACAAATGTTTCTTTTAGTGATTGACGCTTTCTCGAAATGGCCAGAAATAGTACATATATCCTCTATTACAACAGAAAAGACAGAAGAAGCGCTCAAGAATTTGTTGTGTAAATATGAAATACCTAGAACAATTGTCTAAGACAACGGAACTTCATTTACTTCGCAAGGTTTTAAAGATTTCTGTCTGCGTAATAATATCAAACATATTACGACTCCAGTAGCTCACCCAAGTTCAAATGGACAAGTGGAAAAAAGTTAGATACCTTCAAAAGAGCTATAACAAATTACAGTACAATAAAAAGCCTAGCTTGTTCACAGACAACTTGAGGACATTTTTATTTCGCTATCAAGCTACACCTCACACTGCAACTGGACAAACACCTGGATATTTGTTCTTAGGGCGTAATCTGCGAACTAAATTAGATTTTATCAAACCTTCACAAGACATAAACTCAAGAGATAAACCTTCTGAAGTGCTGCGATATAATAGAACCAGAGTATTTTCTATTGGGAGTAAAGTGTAAGTGTACATTAGTACTTTTGTTGAAGGGAAAGTAAAATGGAAAATAGGAACAATACTTAGACAGTTCGGTAGGGACACATGGATAATTGATTCTAATGGACACACTAAAAGACATACAAGTCAAATTCGGAAATGCTACCAAGACAATGAATCGGAAGAGGAAGACGACCCCTGCATTAAACGATTACCGCAGCTACTGTCTTCGTCGGATTTCCAAGTACGAAATCCAGAAGTACATGTTCGGAGTTCAGAAAACCATGGATCACCAGCTGCATTTCCTAGCCCTAGAACATTCCCTGCAGTAGCTTCACAACATCCAAATATCCCTCCTCAGCTCCGACCTAATTCGTTATATTGAAATAATACATTAATTCCAGTTAGAAGCAAATTAGAAAACTTTATTTAGACAGAAAGAGATTGATCTTTGAAACCATAAAAATTCGACTATCGTACTTTGGGCACTTTATAATTTTATCCATTCCTACGACTGTATATCTCACCAATACGCTATAAGAATAACTGTGGTGAGTTTACAATCAAATAATAGTAGTTAAAAACCTATAGTTTCAAAAATTCCTAAGGAGGACATATATGGGGCAGAACATTATATCTTAAATTAAAGTCAACATTCGTACCTTTGTCGGATCTGGATCTGATTATCGCAAAAACGTCATCTATAAGTTCTCAGACGAATTCGCCCCCCAAATCTCTCCATCGGAGATATTATGACTGCCCGGGCGGCCGGACGGACGGCGTTCTGGCTGTAGTGCTGTAGTGGTCTTTGCCTTTTTGGGAGAGGTCGGTGGGCTGGCGGCGGCTCAGTGGCTCAGTGGCTCAGTCTCAGTTGAGTCGCGGCGCGGGAGAGACGTCGAGAGCGTCGTGTGGAGTGTAGTGCCTAGTCTCCCTCGGGATAACCTGCTCATCTCCTTGAATACACTGTGAGTAACAATGTCTTCAGTAGCAGTACAAGAGTACATGTCCTTCAATCCTTAACTTGCATTACCTGTCTTGTCCACTTGTAGGTTACCAATTCAATCGAAAAATTGCTTTGGACGGTATTATATAGTTAATTTATTTTAACACATAGTTCGAATATGAATTGGCAATACATCACGCTTTTAAACATATTTCTCAGGATTTAAAAATGGCCTAAAAAAATGTTTTAAAATATTTTTGTAATGTACTAGTGTTATAGAGCTCTTTTAAACAAACAAGGTGGATATGCAATGTTATAAAATTTACTTGGCAAACCAGAAAATGTCGCCTTGAGAGGCGAGTAAACAAAACTTAGTGCCTTATAATAATAATTTAAAAAGTTTCTAGGCTAAAATATCATTTGTTTCAAAATTACAGTAGTTAAAATAACATTACGTGATGACAGATACTGCATCTCGGTACTTACGTATTAAACGGAGGCCACATTTTGTCAGCACGCTGCGGCGGTTATGTTAGGTTGGGTTATCGTAAATATTATGTGTGTAAGACTTTCCTCGCTTCGTTATGAATCGAACGATACCAGACGAGTTATACTTTCTATTATGATAACCCAACTTAACATAACCGCCGCAGCGCGCTGACAAAATGTGGCCTCCGTTTAATACGTAAGTACCTGCATCTCCTTTGAGGTACAAAGTAGGCTATATTCCATGCAAAATCGCAAAATAAAAAAATACAATTTCAAAGGGATTATAATGAACAAATCTACTCGTGTAAAGGTAAAGGGTTAAAATATTAACTAAATTCAGATTTTAAAATAGAGCCGATAGATTTGGTGACAGAACTACATGCTTTATAATGATAATACAGATAATACAGTCTGAACGAGAAACGAAAGAGCGAGACTCAATAAAGAAGTATAATCAAATAAATGGATACATTACATATATAACAGCAGCAGGTTTGCAGGAATACTAAATGTGTCTGAAGCAGTTATGCACGCAGTTATGACTTAAATAATTTAAGTAAGCTTAAATTAAGTAAGCTACAAAATCATCGTAGCCTAACTGTTTATTCTTGTGATCAACTCGACTATTATAAAACAGTATTTTAATTTTAAATGCCAGAAATTCTTTTACATTGGAATATTATGCCAAAGACTTTATAGGAAGCGGATTCACTTAGCTGCAATATGGGTCTGGGAAAGTGGTCTAACCATCATGTCTGTTGTTACTTCAGTACAACCTGACGTCAAAGTCTCTCAGTTTAAACTGTCATCAATCAGCTGTCTGACGGAAGTCTTTGCTATATTTTAGAAACCATTGATAATTTACGTTTTTCTAACAGGCTAGAAACATTTAATAATACCTTGTACCTTTTTTACAGAACACAATTAATTGGTCTTATCTTCTAATAAAAAAAACAAACTACTGTGTATGGGGTACGTACAAGGGATTTTGACAGTTTATTTTTTATTTTTATTGTTAGGTTAGTTTGTTATCATGACAAAAAAAAACTTTATCAGCCCAAACAAAAATAAAACAGCCATACTCATCCAGGAAACACATATTTTCCGGAATAGTAAAATATTACATCACTCAATGAGTTAATACTAACTTAAATGTTGACATGGTTACAGTAGATCTTTGTATGTAGCCGGTCGAATTCCTTGTATTTACTAGTTACGGCATTGCAGATATCCACTGAATAGAGAAACAATTTAAAAACAAAATAACGTTAATAATAATCGTCGTATACCTAAAAAATAGTATATAATCTTAATTATTTTGTTTTAATCAAATACATTTTCACGATATAGTTGACTTAATAAATGGTTTTGGATGGTTGCATTGAAACTTAGTTTGATGTCAAACACATTGATTCGTTACCACATAGTATAGAACCGGGCTTGAAATGGGTTGTCTATTAAACCAGGGTTTCTATCTCGTAATTAAGTTTTACGTTATCATTATGCAGTAATAACAGCAATCTCTGCGGCGTGTGCAGCATACGGTAGTCATGCTGGTGACGCCGCCGCGCCGCCGTTGCATTCCCTGCTACAACCCTACAGTCTACAGTTGTACAATCTACAATATAAAGCTCGTAGAATATACCCATACCTTATGCGTACATTGTGGTTGTATCATCTTCAGACAACTCGTTTGAAACGTTTGCAATCCAAGTTCTTCTTTGGCTGCGAATACGCGTTAATTAACTGACTCGTTGAACTATTTTAGTCCGGAGAGGATGAGATTTTCTGAAACATACATGAATGTAAAACATAGCGAATTATATTATAATGTTGCAGGGATTTATTAATATCAGCAGATGGATTATATTGATATCAATAGATATCTACAAAAGAGAAATATAGGACTAGTTGTGGGTTTGCCTCCATAAGGATAGCACTGGAGACTACCGTTTGTATCCAGCACTCTTGAGTCTGTATTCATCAGTCACTGTGATCTAGGCGGAGATGTTAAAAATTGTTTGAAAATTAATGTATTGGGAAAAGTAAAACAGATTTTGGACAACAAGAGTTAGATGCCTTTTACCTTAGTCTTCTTCGCAGTAGTCTTGGATAGTACTGAATCGTCGTCTTTTTTCCCTCTGTAGTGTTTAGTGTGTAAATAAGTATCTGTATATTGTGTTACAAGCCCATTTTGGGGAATGTCTTTATGGTGAGCAGCGATTTCATTGAATAATTAATTTATATTTTAATGAGGTTTATGTGTGACATACTCTCTGAATTTATTTCATAATTTTTACTACCTTAGCCAGTGTTACTGTTTTAATCTTCTGATTTTGTATCACGATATCACTTGGCAGTAGTCACGTTAAAATGCTTAAAAGATCAAGCTTACTTTCGGCTGAGTCCGGAATTATAATATTTGCTAACGGTTTTCAGCACTAATACAAAGCCTACACTGTGCTACCTAATTATAAATTCCAATGTATCAGCAATGTTCACTTACCGTCTGATCGTCACGTAAATCACACAGCGTGTACATGTAACGGTCTGTACTATAACTCACACCTACGTCACATAATGCAACCCAACCAGCTGTCCACTAGGCTCGCGGCGATAACTAGGCAATCACAGACATTACATACGTCCAGCCACGAATACTAGAAAAATAAAGGATTCGTGCAACCAGCCAATGATAATTACACATCGGTAGGTAGCCAAACAAGATCAGAAATATTGTTTTTATTTGTACTTACAAAATAGAAAATGGTACATGTAATAGATCAGTCACAGGATTGTTAATATCAATGTTGGTTTGGTCATCATTTCACATAACCTTTCTATAGTGTGTTTTGTAACTTTTACATTTGTAGACTTTTACTGGTAAATATTGACTACATTGGTTGATAATTGGAAAGTGATAAAAATGGCCTAAACATAATAAAATATATTGTAATAATCGCACCCAAATATTAGAGCAGATAAACTGCTTTATTACATTTTTATTTCCCGATTAATGTGTTTTAAAGCAGGACAAAAGCAGTGTCTGGATCTTGAGTTTGCCAAAGATGCAAGTGGTTCAAAGTACATAAAATAGAAAACGTGCAAATTTGTTTATCATCTGATAGCGAACTGTTAAACTTCCCATCGCACATTTGTCCATGCAGTTTCCTCTTTCAGAATGAAATATCTACAAAAGGCCGCGATCTTACTAGTTTATACCAGCGGTTTTGCTACGTATCATTCAATATCGTATGCTTCTGGGCCAGTAAGTACGACCGATGGCTATGGCGCTGCTAGAGATAGCACCATGACAGATGTATGTGTGTGGCCTCTGGAATTATCACCTCGCTGTACAAGCTTTCACTGACTTAACGTCAAGACCTGATATGTAACTGGTTACAGTTAGTCAACAGCTTACGTTTACGTGTCAAAGGTAAGGATAATACAGCACAATCCACACTATCAAACGACATTAGCATATACACCATATCGGTTTATTATGACGATAAAAAGATATCAATTGATTGTTTTATGTGCTCCAACAGTTAGTAAAATATAGGACGAACATATTAAAAGAGTTTATTTAATTTTCAACAATAGTTAGTCTCTCTATACAAATTTATTTAGCCTATTTCAAAAGCTGATGACTTAAGTAAACTCTGGAAAAAAAGCTATCCAGATTAACTTCTGGTACAGTAGTTGATACGGCTAAATCTTATGACATTATCAATAGTTTTGGGACAAAACTAATGTACAGTTTTAATAAACGGTACAATTTTGGAAATTATTATCCTGCTAGCACAAGAATGATAAGTTTAGAACATCTTGACTGCGCTTTAACGTTGGGCTTATGTTAGGTCGAGTGTAGATACTGTATAGAGTTGTAGGAAGATAAACGTAGATATTAACCTCTTACCCATTATTCCAACGTTGTGGTACGGGGGACTAATGCGAGTCCATTCCCATTCTTTGACCTACTGAAGACGTTTTAACGCATCACCCGATGACTCGCTGTCGTCTTTGGATGAAACTGAGTTCAATGTTGAGAAAGTCTAAGCTTCGTCATCTTCATCATCCACATCCAGTCAGACAACATCTAGGGATCGAGGCCGCGTCCAATCATAACATGCTGCATCAGCGTAGAGGACCATTGTAACGTGCAATTGTTGTGAGTCAAGTAGATATTTTACATGGTCTAGTCTGTGTATGTGTACCCCTCACGATGGTAATGTAGTATTAACTAGTTTTTAGAACGCATTTATATAATAATGCGTTACGTTTATTCAATTGTTTCAATTTTCCAGTGTGATTTCAATTCTGTTCGTAATGATTGAGTGGCACTGTTTCGCATCTTTTTTCTTCGGTTCGAGTAAAAATTCACAATTATCATTTTAATGACAAGTCATAAGAATAAAAAAAAATACTTTGATATCAAATTAAATAGTTTTGCAGCTAAGTAATATATCTTATATTACTTAATTTATGCCACAATTCCAAAGTTGTATTTTTATATAAAATGGAAATTTACTA